GTAAAACAAAAATTGTCATTGCAGTCTTTAAAAACCAAATGAGAGCCATTTGTCACAGTTATATAAGGGAATAACATGAATTCAGGTCTATTCTTTCCTTAGGTTGCAACAAGCAGCATGACAACAAAATAGGTGCAAAATCGCTTTGCTCCCCACCAAAACCAAAGTTGTGGCATAATTCCAGAGTCAGGGCCAAACCTGCCTCAGGAAGAGAAGTGGATTGAACGAGTCTGCAAAAACAGGAAGCCATTTCCAAATCTACAAGTTTGAAAAACACGATAAGGCCACGTTATGACAAGTCCAAGTTTGTCCAACTTGGATAACAATGAAATATGCTGCATGCAGACAATTCTAGTCTAATAGCGTTCTCTCATGTAGAACGCACCTCATGAGATAGAATCGGATGGCAGTGTAACTTGTCTACAAGACGAGAATTTTATTATTGTTTCGGTTTGGAATGGGGAGTTTAAGACAAATTCTCATCTTCTCCACGCCCACCCTATTTTAAATGCCAGTGTTTGAAGTCAAAAGTATTATAGCTCATTCTTTGAAGCTGCATTCACTTGGCTTGGTCCCTCGCTGGTCTATTTTTAACCTTCTGGTTGATTACTTTGCGGCCCTCTCTGGATCAGATTGTCCAGAGTGGCAACCTCACACAGTGTCACTCCAGTCCTTCTGTTTTACAAAAGGAGTGGGCTCTATATTTTTGACCAGTGATTCTGATAGGGTCTCCTTCAGAAACATGGAGCTGTACTTACATTCTGACAGTTCCTCCTTACTGTCACACCCCATTTCCACAGCAGTCTGCTGTTGTATTCTGGAAGTTAATGCCTGGTCAACCATATTTTTGTTGCTATCCAGTACTGAGTGCATGAGGTAAGAGTGATGCTGGGGGGTTGGGGGGGGGGGGGAGAAGGTGTGTGTGTGTGTTTGGGGGCACAATGCACTGGGTGGGGTACAGACCAGATGAGTAGGGAGTAGGGTGCCAGCTATATAGGCTCTATAGGGTACCAAGTGGGTTTAGGTACAAAAACAGAAGTTGCTGGAAAAACTCAGCCGGTCTGGCAGCATCTGCGAAGAGAAAATCAGAGTTAACTTTTCAGGTCCAGTGACCCTTCCTCAGAGTCCTTTCTCTTGACAGATGCTGCCAGGCCTGCTGAGCTTTGCCAGCAACTTCTGTTTTTTGTTCCTGATTTACAGCACCAGTAGTTCTTTTGGTTTTTTTTTTTTAAAAGTGGGTTTAGGTGCCAGTATGCAAGGTAGCAAATGGGCAAGGTGAGAAAAGGGCCTGGTAAGCGATGCAATGCTCAGGGTGGTTTGGCGTGGATGAAGGAAATCAGGTTGAGCAGGATACAGGGTCGGGTGGGTTCTGTTCTGGAGACAGGGGACGAGGTTGGGTCTAGTGGGAATGGCAGGGGGAGAGGGTGGTCTGCGTTGGGTCAAGGTCTGGGGTGTGCAAGTGGTCCGGGACAGTTATCGTGAGGTTCCGTGAAGCAAGTATCAGCTCTGCTGAATAGTTACCCAGGAGTTAGTTGATGCATTTCATTGCCTAGTTTTTCCTGAGTAACTATCTGCTTAATTTCAGTGGAACCCTTTGAGTTCTCAAATATAAATGGAGACTTTGTGTTCCAGGTGATGAGGAATTGTCCAGCAGATTCTTCAATTTCCCGGGCAATTCGTTCAGAGTCTACTACAGTGGGAATTCCGCAGGGACCCCATGTGCAATTCCCAACGATGAGGAATAACAACTGTCTTGCCATCAGAAAATCCGTGCCTGTGTCTCCTTCACCAGTACCTGCATGTCTGCCAGTGAACAGTCAACATGCACTGAAATCACATGTTCTGCTTACATGATCTACATTAATTAGTGAGGAAATTCCCCAGAGAGAGAGAATTGAATTTAACACTACACATATTCAGCAAGTGTCTTGAGCCTTTTTTTAAAAAAAAGTTAAACTTGCGATAGGAATGCAAATTAAATTTATTGAGCACAACTGGGAAGTGAGGTCCTGGGAGTCAGGTCAAAGGGATCAGAAGCGTGGAGAGTTGTTTTTGCATGGTTGCTCAGAATCTTGTTTCAAAGTTAGCTATTTACTTTATCAAGTTGTCACCAAAACCTTGCAGGATTGCAAAACGAGCTCTGTTTTCAACTTAAAACAGTAAATTCGTGAAGTATTGCCAGACTGATATAATGAAGAGAAACCAAATCATTTCCTGTGCATAGTTCTATTTGAACATCTTTCCACTTTGATCCTCTCCCCACTTTGGGGGATTTTATGCTTGGTAAAAAGGTGTCGAGCACATTTGAAGGCAAATAAGGGTAAAATCACCACAGACCTGGAGGACTCCACTTACTCTTTCATTAGAGAGAAAAGACTGGTGGTGGTTTACTTGGAGAGTCAACACACCCCAAGCGCCGAGTGAGGCTGAGAAGGCTGGACCTTTATGGTAAACTCAGCCAGTGCAGGTATTGAACCTGCACTGTTGGCATCACTCTGTGTCGCAACTCCCTCGTACACACAACAATCCAATGGTCATGTTGATGCACTGATAGAAAATGCCAGTTTTTTCCAAAGTGGGGATGTTTAGGATGTCTAGGATGTCAAGTGTTAACTGAAACTTAAATTTTGGGGTCGCATGCTGTTAGGAAGCGATGGCTACTGTGAAGATCTGACCAAGGTATTGCAGCTGTACAGCTGTCCAAGCACACTCTCCATTCATACCAGGGGCTGCAACAATTTTCAAGCTGAGGGTCACAGAGATAAAAAGTTTGGCAAGCACTGGAACGTGCTCCATGATTGTCAGTTTTGCTTGTGCCGTAGTAAGTTTTCCAGATCAGCAAGATGAAAGGCAATTCCAGCAAAAAAATAATAATTTGTCCATAGGTCACTCACATGCCTGACATATAGATGATATAATATTGGGAAACAGTTGGGAATATGCCATCTGAATATTTATTTCAAATCTAGACGCAGAACGGAGAGTTAAGGATATGTTGTAACAGGAAAGAAAAAAAAAAATGACACCACACACATTTTCCAAAGTACACCTCAACTGCTTTCAGCAACCATTGAAGTAATGTAACTCACACCAAACTCCTCCTCTTCTTCAAAAAAGAATGTCATCGCAGAGAACATGTCTAAGCTACTTATTTTTCATTTTTATTAAAAAATGTTTTATATTATATTTTCCAGCAGTCTGATAGATAGCTTGCCAGGAATACTAATATATTCCAACAGTTAAAAGCAGTGGGTGGAATCAGGAGGTGAGCAGAGACGTTGTATTCTCCCACCTAGAGTTTTTATTACAAACAAATGTCAAACAAAACAAAGAAGCCACAGCTGTGGTCTTTGTGGTAATACAACATAACAACCCACCAGTGTTGAGTAATGTTCCCTGGCTTTGCTTTAATAAAGCATCCTGACATGCAAGCAAAGGTGGAAACTGAGCCCACTATTTTCAAAATACGTCACAAGTAGTGTGAACTCCATAGCCTGTGGTTCACAGCAGAAGAAAACACAAATCAATCATGCTGGCTTAAACAAAAGGTGTACTTTTTTTCCACAGCTATGTGGTTAGATACCTGGTATTTGTTAGAAGTTAGGTAAGCAGATTCCTCTGTATCCCACAAATATGCAGTAAACTTTAAGCCATATGACATGCATGCCCTAATTGTTTAGGTGGACAGTTTTATAAAGGACAACAATTCCACTTATCCAAACTAATTGCTTTGTTGAAGGCATGTTTCAAAATAGACAAGTGACTTATGGACACACACCCTACCTGTGCGTATTTTCCATGCAACATGCTATTCTTTGAATAAAATGAAACTAAAGAAAACCAACTGTGGCAAAGTGCTGATTAGTTCTTAAGTATTTTAGATTTTAAAGGGCCTAAATATTTAGAGTAGTTTCGTTTAAGAAATTTCAAAAATTCAATCCAGATCTAGGTCCAAACCAAAAAGACCCAACAAAACAAAGTACATTTATGGCGGGATTCTCTACACTAAGAACTGTATAGAAATGGGATATTCTTCCAGAATTATTCAGGGAAGATCACAGAAGCTTTTGTTTGTATCCATTTGTAAGGACTACGGGAAGGAAGACAACAATGGAAAAGAAGGCAGGGAAATGACAGGATGAGAACTACAACTAAAAATATAATCCGTGTGGATAAAGCTACTTACTTTAAGATAGAATCTCTGGGACATCAAATGGAAGAGATTACCAATTGTCAAATTGACATGATCAGGTCACCCTTCTAAAGGGAGGATATTATTAAATTGGAAAGTGTGCAGAAAAGATTTACAAGGATTTTACTAGGACTGGAGGATTTGAGTTATAAGGAGAGGCTGGGAATTTTTTCCATGGAACATGGGAGGTTGAGGGGTGACCTTAGAGAGGTTTATAAAATCAAGACGGGCATAGATGAAATGAATTGTGAAGTTCTTTTTTCCCAGGGCTGGGGAATTCAAAACTAGAGGGCACAGATTTAAAGGTCAGAGGGGCAAGATTTAAAAGGGGTAACTGTTTCCACACAGAGGATCGTGCATATATGGATGAAGTGGTAGATGCAGGCACATTTAAAAGACATTTGGACAGGATAATGCATAGAAAAGGTTTAAAGGGATATGGGCCAAACGCAGGCAAACGGGAGTAAGTTTAGTTTGGGAGACCTGGTTGGCATGGACAAGTTGGACTGAAGAGTCTGTTTCCATGCTGTATGGCTCTATGGCTCTATACCACCTACAAATTCTTGATTGATCAAACCTACATTAAGTCTTATGCAACCTTAAAAAAAAGTGTGGAATACTGATGAGGACAGTGACTCTCAAACTTAGAGTTAGGGAGAGATAGAGAGGGGAAAACAGACAATGGGAGTGACCTGGCCACCACCTGTACCTTTCTAATAGGAAACTCAAAACACCAATACTGTAATTAAGGAAATGTCAAACAATGTTACTACTTAAAAGAAAAACTGAAAATACTGAACATACTTACTTTTCCTTAAGGATAATTTTGCTTTCCTTTCTCCAGTACTCTTTGAAGTCTGAGCAAAACTCATACCACAGGGTAAAGAAGTGATTTGGAGTGACTTCTTTATCTCCAGACTTTGGCTTCATGCTAAAATATGCTGCCGTTTCCAAGAAGCTGACAAAAGGAAACAATATAATCAAAATACAAGCCCAAAATACACTTTTAAACTTCTGTTATTCGTCAGTAATAATTCGCATTGAAGAGAAGCACGTCATATTTAAACGATCTTAAACCAATTCTATTTCACAACATCTTGGAGGAGAACTCCAAACTATAGCTGAGTACTGCTGCAATTCATGTTAACTATTGCAATCCTTCAGCCTGAACATTTGAAGTGATGTACTCCTCCATATCACTGAATGCAAAAAGATGCCTCAGCGAGGATCCCTTTGGAAGACAAAGGGACAGTTCGAGCACATTCAAATGTAATTTGCTTTCAGGCTCAACGGGATTACAAAAGGCTGACACATGACCCCATTATTTTCGATGCTGAAACTAAATGGAAAGTAATTTTCTCCTCTAAGATGCTACCTTCCCCACAAATCAGATAATAATCTGTTCAGAATTTTAGCTTCTACAATATTACCATGCCAAGCAGGGTGGGCTTGGGTGTTGTGTTGCCATCTTCACTGCTAGCTCACTTTTAGCTAAGATCTTTTTGCACACAACAGTCAGTAACTCAAAAGTCTCCAACCATCTTTGACCATGGTGCCACACTCAAGAGGCAAAGTGTTCGCAGGTTTTCAGTGGGAAGTACCATACTGGCAATCCTACACCAGATTCTCCTGACATCCCGACTATTGTATGGGGTTTCTGAATGCATTTAGAAGAGTTAATACTGAGGACGGCTACAAACACCACAACTATAATGGTGCTTTGTGGAGTAACTGACAGAACAGCTTAGGTTCTCAAGGGGATAGGACCGAAAATCTGACCTACCTCAAAGTCTCTCTAACAATCCATCATATCAATCCAACTCTTAACTAGTTGCTAACATGCAATCAACTATTTGTTAACTGCAAGAGAGACTCTTCTAGTTTGATTGGGGAGTGGTCTTCCTCTCCCACACTAGAACATGCAGGCACTTTAGTTTCCTATACTTAGACAGAATGGTGGCAGGGACCTTCACTATGAGCAGTAGCTCATACAATATTGGTAGTTGGCATGCCCACACAACAAACCTACCATCTTATCTAACAAATCAGCCAACTTTGTTTGGTACATATCACATGAATTGGTGGCTGAGTGCACTTGACAGATTGAAGATATAGGGATTGAAAAACATTTCGTCATCACTGCCACACTGGCTAGAGTACACAAGATCTACAGGATCACTACATAAATTCACCGAAGTTATGATTCTGCAGTGGGTTTACTGATCTTATAACTAAGTAAAGAACTGTGAAGGAATGATCATTGCATACGTTTTTGTACTTCAATGAAGATATTTTGCTGCAGATCCATAATTTATATTTATCCCTGGGAAGATCAAGTGGAAGTTAGCAAAGAAAATTGCTTAGTACCTTGTATGGTCCATCATGCAATTGAAGTAAATATCAAACACATCAAAGCAGAGCTGCAGTACCAGGGCATATTACAACTCATGAAAGACCACCCAACAGAAGCAGAGACTCCAAAATGCCAAACAAATAAAAGCTAAGTGAAACAAGGAAAGCAATTTGACATGTTGAATTACAAACCACATATCTTCATGGAATGGAACTACTTTGCTATAATTAAGATCTCTTTTCACAAAGTAGACAGAGCCACATGTGCAATTAATTGGTCCCAGGATAAATTACAAATCCAATGTTTATTCACAAACAGAAGACCTGAACAGTTAAAGCATGCAGCATTATTTGTCCAGATGCCAGGCTGATGCAAAACCTCTCTCACAGGTGCCTCATAAGTTCAACAGATAGAGGCTGAGCACAATTGTCAAGCTATCAGCAAGATCTCAATTTTGGTCACACAAATGTCTAACCCATTCCAATTTCAATTTCACGGAACCTGGGTCTGTACTGGCTCACTGAGAAATCCTTGGGATCATCAGAAGATGCATGTTGGCATCTCAGCATTGCCAGCCTCCTGCTTTACTTCACCCCCACCAAGTGACTGAAATCCTCACTCATGTCTTGTTGCCTCCTGACTTGATTATTCCAATGGTCTCCAGCTTACCATTCTTCAGAATTCATAATCATCAACGCATCTTAAAATGCACTCCCTCTTCCCTTAATGCCTCCAATCTGTAATTACAATCATAAGAGTCATACAGCATGGAAACAGACCCTTGAGTCCAACTAGTCCACGCCGATCATGTTCCCAAACTAAAGTAGCCCCACCTGCCTGCTTCTTAATCTTTTACTTAAATTCCACCAGGCTCCTAGTTACGTATGGACCTCCATTCCTGCACCCTACCCCTAAATTCTACTTTTTACTGACTTTGTCCACTCTTCTTCACTCCCTTTCCTTTGCATCACCATGAGCACCTGTACCTGCAGCTACCTAGGCCCCAAAGTTCCGGAGTTGCCACCTTAAAAAAATTGCTTTCTTTCTTCAAAACTCTCTTTGATCCCTTTTATTCAAGTCTCCAGAGTCTTCACCCATTGGCTTGAAGTCTATTTTTCCTCCAACTTTTGAAGTGCTTCGAAGTGCTTCCCTATGTTCAATGTATTCTGCAAATAGAAGTATTAACTGTTGCTGAAAATACCTTCTTTTGGGAAGAGAGAACCAGAATTAAAGATAGAGCTGTTTGTCATTTGGGTGTGGTAGACATGGATCACTTTATTGAAAGCTATTCTGCATCAGTACGGAAGAAAAACAGGTTCCAGCAACTCTAATATGTATATTTGGAAGCCTTTCTAACTACCATTATGCACCAAGGGCTTAAAGAGCATTTAAAACAATTTCACAACTCTCATTCATTATATTTGAAGATGAACAAAAGGTGGTGCAATATTTGTGGTGCAAAATATTGAGTAATGGTCACGTTAAACACAAGAAATTCTAGCTATCTATTCTTCATATTTAACGGTACTGCCCTTATTCTCATTTACCGCATTCCTTGCCATGCCCAATCAATAAACATCTTTGGAGGCCACCACTGAATAGAAACTGAACTGGTCCAGTAATTGGAACACTATAGCTACCAGAACCAGGTAGAGGTTGGGAACTGTGCAGTAAAGTGGCTCATCTCTTGAACTCTCAAAACCTCTTCCATGCACACAAGACTCAGGTCAGGGGTTCTATGGAATACTTGGATTCGGATCCTATATATGAAAAGATACGTTCAAGAAGCTCGAGATCACGTAAGCAACATCAGTTGGCCTGTCTGATGGCCCAACTTCGGAATCAATATCCTACTACCATCATGTGATATGCATAGCAACATCCAGCCCGTATGCAGTGCAGCCCAAGTTCCTTGATATATTCTTACCAAGCACATAAGAAGCATGGTTCTTTGATTCACTGGCTTAAGGACCTGGAATTCTGTCTTAATTATAAGGAAGCAGCATCACCTGCAACAGTTGAGGAGAAGGTCATACTCTGATTGCGAGTAGGTTTAACACAGTATCTGCGACCCTGTGACTGTCTTTCAGGCTCGCTGGATTTTCTCTTAACAAATGATTTATTTCTGTGGTCTCCTTTGGTTTTTCATTCCAGTAGCACCCACTTGCCTCAAGCATTAGAAAAAAAAAACAGATTGGTTCAGAGATAGTAGGAACTGTCAATGCTGGAGTCTGAGATCACAAGTTGTGGAGCTGGATGACCACAGCAGGCCAGACAGCATCAGGGGAGCAGGAAAGCTGACGTTTCAGGTCTGGACCCTTCTTCAGAAATGGGGGAGGGGAAGGGGGCTGTCAAAGAAAGAAAGAGAGGGGGAGGCGATGATAGAAGGTGGATAGTGGAGCTGATAGGTGGAGAGAAGATGGACAGGTCAAGGAGGCGGGGATGAAGCCAGTACAGGGAGTGTAGGTAGGGAGTTAGGATGGGGGTTGGTCAGTGAGGAGGGAGGAGCGGATAGGTGGGAGAAAAGAGGACAGGTCAAGGAGGCGGGGATGAGATGGGCTGGTCTTGGGGAGGTGGTCTGGGGTGAGGAGATTTTGAAGCTTGTGAAGTCCACACTGAGACCATTGGGCTGCAGGGTTCCCAGGTGGAATGTGAGGTGCTGTTCCTCCAGCCTTCGGGTGGCATCGTTGTGGCACTGGAGGTGGCCCAGGATGGACATGTCATCCAAGGAGTGGGAGGGGGGAGTTGAAGTGGTTTGCGACTGGGAGGTGTTGTCGTTTGTCATGAACCACAGGAGGTGCTACACCTGCCCCTACACGCCCACCTAGGCCCCAAGAAAATCTTCCACATTCAACAGACGTTCACCTGCACATCCTCTAACGTGGTATATTGTATCCACTGTTCCCGATGTGCTTTCCTCTACATGGGGGAAACCAAGCGGAGGCTTGGAGACCACTTTGTTGAGCACCTATGCTCGGTTCATGACAAACGACAACACCTCCCAGTCGCGAACCATTTCAACTCCCCCTCCCATTCCCTGGACAACATGTCCATCCTGGGCCTCCTCCAGTGCCACAACGATGCCACCCGAAGGCTGGAGGAACAGCACTTCATATTCCGCCTGGGAACCCTGCAGCTCAATGGTCTCAATGTGGACTTCACAAGCTTCAAAATCTCCCCACCCCCAACCTCATCCCAAGACCAGCCCATCTCATCCCTGCCTCCTTGACCGGTCCATCTTTTCTACAAACTATCCACTCCTCCCACCTCACTGACCAACCCCCAAACCCACTTCCTACCTACTAGCCTCACCCCTGCCTCCTTGAGCTGTCTGACTTCCCTCCCATCTACCGTCCCTTCCTCCTCACTGACCAACCCCCATCCCAAATACCTACACTCATCTGTAGGGGCTTCAACTCCGCCTCCTTGACCTGTCTGTCTCCTCTCCAACTATCTGCTCCTTTATCCATCTTCCATCTGCCTCCCCCTCTCTCCCTATTTATTTCAGAGCCCCCTTTCCCTCCCCCATTTCTGAAGAAGGGTCCAGACCCAAAACGTCAGCTTTCCTGCTCCTCTGATGCTGCTGGGCCTGCTGTGTTTATTCA